AATTAATTGAATATAAGGCTTCAAAATGGGGACATTTAATTTTCTGAGTTCTACCCCCATAGACTTGGATTGAGTTCTAAGTTCGAATTAGAACTTTTTCCATGTTCGAAATTTGGAGTTAGAACCGAACACGGGGTTGTTTGGCTCATCCCTACTGGTTAAGAGCAATGTTTACAGATGACACAAAGTATTGCAGGTTAACCACTTCTTTTCTCTTGTGAAAGCTAATTTGAAAAGGCAAGTATAGTACTGCACCAGTCTATGGGGTCTATTCACAAAGCTGCCGAAGGATCTGGCCGTAGCTTTGGCCGATCCTTCGGCTGGCTTCGGCCCCAGAACCCCTTCGGTTCAGGAGAACCGAGGGGTGCTGTACGGGCTATTCATTGATCTAAATCTAAACAAGAGCAGGTTTCATATCTCCTGTTGAATTGACTATGTAATATTGTGGATCTGAAAAGCAATCTTCAATCCAGATTACTGCCAGAGACTTGCTTTTTTATTATTTATTAATGTTTCCCGTAGAAACCAAAATGCAAAATAATGTGTGTCAACCTTTCAGGTAAATATTAACTAATTCAGCATTTCAGATTTGTATTGTGGTTCCTGCTGACCACCAAGAGAAATAACGCTCTTTACGCAAAGCTAAAAAAAGGACAAAAAAAACTTTCAAAGTCGACCTTTTCAAAGAACCAAAACAGTCAAGGCATCAACAGCGAGTCTATAATCAACAATCCCTGTTCTGCTCTCTGTTTTACACTTAATGCATTTAGAAATTGGTTGGTCCTAGGAAAAGCTTAGAATATTCAGAGGTCTATAGGAAAGAGGTGAAAACTTACTTATTGTTTTTGCCCCACAGTTACTATATAACTAGAGTGAAGGGAAAGGACAATGTATCCAATTTTGATGCAGGGATTTCACACCTGAGGCAGAGGGCTACGAGGATGAGGGTTAAATATTATCTCTGAAATCAGGTACCGTTCAACAAAGTTACTTAACAAATACTGCTGACAGAGAAGTCTGTTGTTAGCAATGGGGGTAAGGTTAAAGAGTTTCCCTAACTGCAACTGGTGTTAACAGTGGAAAACCAGATAATTTCCAGCAACCTCAGATCATTAGCTGATCATTAAAGAGAACTAGTCAATAAACAGCCATTATTAACTATATTTCCCACAAAAAAAACCTCTCCCTCCTCCCCTCCCCCAGCATTATTGTCACCTTGTTTTTGTAGTAACAGACAGCTTTTATTACTCCATGTGACATCATAACTTGTAAAATGTGTGCGGGGGCAGGTGCTTAGAGCGAATTTCTCGTTGACCTTGCCATGTCCCCAGAACTATCTCTCCTTTAATCCCTTTTTATCTATGTACAGTGTATGGACAGGTAGTTAGGATATAATGCATTAACATTGTTTTCATCGGAAAGAGCTCAATATGTGAATGTGGGGTATGACAGAGAGGGGAGGGAATAGGTGGAATTCTGTAGTCCAGCACACGGGATCGTAAGGCACATTGTGCCTGCGGTCCGGTGCAATCAAAATAGTGCTTGATCGCACTGCACCGGACCGGACCGCAGGCACAATGTGCCTTGTGATCCCATGCGGGCGATCCCATTGTGGCCGCAGGGCGTGGCTACGGTGTCATTCACTTCAGTGGCACGCCACGCCCCCTCCTGCCCCACTAAAAAGTGAGCCGGCTGCAGTGCAACTGGTGTAAACTAACCCTAAATGGTAGTTTTGTGCGTGGCCACTATTGAGTTTTTTTTTTATTATTACTTAAAACTAATGCTGATGGCCTGTGCTGTATTGCCTTTATTCTCTGGGTACCTTAGTAGTGAAATAGTACACAAACAAATTTTGTTTTCACAATGCATTCTCCTATACACTTCTCCCCTAACCTGTGCTTGCTGTAGTGACCCCTTAATTCAGAAGCATGGGAACCACATCCCATCCAGCCACCCATTTTAGTAAGTATGCATGAGAGGAGCATTTAACAGTTAAATGTATGATTTGTTAATGGAGGTAGAAATATGCTGTCTCAACCTGCTTCATAAATATTCCATAAATACCATGACCATCAATGTCGTGTTCATCAGACAATTAGAAGGCTGCCCATGCTCTCTGACTGGGGCACTGCTGTCCTCTGAGGCAGCCTAGGAACAAAGAAATGTGGTTATGTGCAGTAAAGCTGATTACTCAGTATCATTAATGCTGATAAATGAAAGCGCTCTACCAGGACCAGGAATATTAAGATTCAGGCTCATAAATTGGTAATGACAATTTTCCCAGCTGTGGGCAGGCAGGGTATTGGAGGATGGGCAGGAGAGCTGGAAAAAAATCAGTACTGTGAGAATTATATGATGTTCTGGTACTAGAATGGTATTCCCTAGATGTCACTCATCAAATGACAGAAAGTTGGCCACACCGATCAGTCAGGAAGAGGCAATTCCTGCCATAAGACAAGGTGAGGGGTTAATATCAGGTGGGATCCACTAGGCACATCCTGAGAAAAGGACCCCAGCTTGCTTTGCATTTCTCACTTGTCTCCTGCTACCCAGGACAATGTGGACTGCTCATCTGCTTATTCTGGCATTTGTCAGAGTAAATGGCAAAACTTACTAGAGCAAAAGCATGACTTCCACTGTGTTTACTTAAAGGCATGCTGAATGCCATAGTGATGTGTAAGCACTGGGCAAAGTCTGGACACATGCACAATGGGGTTAGTGTGTTATATAGACTGTCAGCTGGCTCGAATGTGCATCTCACATTGATTCTTCCTGAGCAGCAGTCACAGGTGCCATCAAGACTGGATGGCATTAGTGCTAACAAGTAGGACTTAAAATATATCTAATCCCTAATCCTATATCTAACCATATGCAGACAGTCCCCGGGTTACAAACAAGATAGGGACTGTAGGTTTGTTCTTAAGTTGAATTTGTATGTAAGTTGGAACAGGTGAATTTTTTTCTTGTTTTGGATAGCATAGGGAAGGGTTCAGGCCCTGTAAAGTTTGTTTTGCTGTGTATGCGCCCTTGTTCAGAAGATTTCACCTCACTGTCTGTCCCTGTGACAATTGGATTTTGAAAATGTTGGGTTGTCGTGGTAACAAGGATTGGTGATAAAGCTTCAGTGGAGACACTTTTTTCCATGATCACTCTTACAAGAGTGAATTCCCCTTCCTAGGGGTAGTGTCACGTACCTTAGGGGAGTCTGAGTTGACGAGGGCGGCCTCTCTCACAGCTCCGGTCCCGGAGCACCTGGATTGGTTACAGGGGCGCCGGGGCACAGAGGGGCAAGTGTGCCAGAGGCTGGTTAGCCTGTTGCATCTGGGAGATGAGATGAAGTGCATAGATCCGGGCAGGAAGCAGGATGCGGATGCACCGAAGAGGATCCAGAAGGCTTTAGATCCGATGAGCTGAGGAAGCTGGAAGCAGAACACACAAGGCAGATGGATCGTCAAGCAGGCCGAGGTCATCAACGAGCTAGCAATGTAGTACAAGGGGTGAGGCAGAATCAAGGTCAAAAACAAGGCGGGGTCTTCAGGGAGCAAGCAACAACAGAGGGTAGTCCAAGCCGGGTCAGTAACGGGTAATCAGGATACAGAAAATACAGGAACACAGAACACAGGAAGCTGACGATCTGACAGCATAAGAGGATAGCTGAACACAGCCTTTATAGCCCAGTTGGCGCCAATTGTTCAAATGACACGTCGGCGCGTGCCCGTGCGCACAAACACGCGCACGAACGCGAGCATGACGCGCACGTCCGTGCAAAGACGCTGCTCCTATTATGGCTCTATGGTCCACAACAGGCGCCCGCGCATGCGCAGACGTCGACACTCGAACTCTGGCTCTGGCTTTCTGACAGGTAGTTTTCCTTTCACTTCCTGTTGTCTCAAGGACAGTAAGTGAGATTAAATCTTTCTAATGAGGCTACAGACAGCAGTAGAAATCTCACAGTGACCCCAAACAAGATGTGGGCACCTCTCGTCTGCACGCCAACTTTCTGTAATGTACGAACAGTACTACGAACCAGACCCAAAAAGGCGGGCACTCCTCGTCGGCATGAGCGCGGTAGCATTACAACAACGCCTGCTGTACAGTAATAGCCTCCGTTTGTAAGTAGGAGTCGTATGTAAGTCGGATGTATGTAACACAGGGGCTGCCTGTATTCTTTAGCTTACCAGTCCTTAGATGTGTTGGCGCGTTAGTTTTCTTTTTCAAGCTTTATTATCGTCTGATTCTGCAAGTAACATAATTCCTGTACTAAAAAACCAACACATACCCCATTGTATGTATGGAGGAGCAGTGTTGTCGGGCTGCTCTCCTCATTTGGACTATCAACACCTCCCTGAAAATTGGAAAGGCTAAGATTATTTGAGATTTCAGTTTAGTGCACAGGAAGTTAAAAGAACACAATTTCTGGCAGGACCAACAGATATTTCTTTGGTAATACACGTCTGGGATGTGGTGTGTTGACCTAGTTGGTTGGTCCATACACCTTTTATTAGTTTTTTTTGTATTGGGAGAAAGTATCCTTAGCCTTAAAATGAAAACTAATGTATCCACCACATCTAATAACTTGGCAGCTGCAATATATTGCATTTTTGTTCTTGGGTTTGCATATATGAGAATATGATTGTACAATATGCAGGGTTTTTTATATTCAGTCTTAAAAGGTCAGTCCACCCAAAGCTTGCATTTCAGTTGGCAGATGATGGATAGTTAAACCACCTGACAATTTCTTTCTCTCTCGGGAACGCTGCACAAATGTGGTGGCCATCTTTAAGGAGCTCAAACACTGCCTGTTGGATTTGTTATTTATTTATAGTACAGAGAACGCAACAGGGGGTTCTGGAACATGGAAAAGTGGACAGGAACAGCCAAAGCTCCCTGGTGGCAGAAACAGTCAGGAACTATGGCATTTGATCCAAAACTTTTTTTTTAAATCTATACGACCTAAGAATTCCAGATTTACAATAAATAAATGGTGCTTTGTGTTTCAGGATGGAATGGGGAATCTCAGAATCACAGACAAAGGTTTACGACTAGAAGGAGATTCAGAATTTTTGAAACCTCTGTATGCCAAAGAAATCCGCTCCAGGCCGGTAAGTGTTCTTTCTCAGGTTAAAAAACAATTTATTTATTTGCAATAATGAAAAAACTAATGAAAAAAGTTGCAAACAAAAATATGGTTTCACTCAAAACAGGTTCCATATACCTTATATTGCAGATAGGTCATCCATGAAGCCTATTTATTGCCACATAAAACATGCTCTTGAAGTTTAATGTGGATCTAGCATGAGATATTTTTATGCTTGCTAAGTAATGTCTTCATCTGCCCTCATCTGCTTTTCTCTCCAGCAGAATGGAGCCATCCAGCATATACTACTTGGACTGAGATACTGCTTAAGAGATAACACAGTTATGTAAATTCTGGTACTTGTACAGTTCTTGGCTGTGTTCACAAATATCTGACACAAATCAGCTCCTTCTGCTGCCTTCCTTTATGATTTGCTGGAAAGTTACAATGTAACTTTATAGCGAGTTACATTCCGATTTCAAAGTTGCAATCCAATAACTCAGGGTGACAGGGTGAGGACACTAAATAAATACTTCCTGCTGCCTGCAGCAGATTGATGACATCATCTCAGCCTTGGTAAGTCCCTGGACTGGAGATCAAGGACTGTTTTTTGTAATTAATTCTACTGTTGCTGTATATTGTGACATGTCAGGGATCTACTCATGCAGACTTGTAAAGGCATTGTTTCAAAATATTCACAAGTACAGGTATGTGAGTCAGAAAACAGCATAGCTACTGTTCTTATTTTGAGTCTCGATCCCCGTTCCACTCGTATTTATACTGTTGTTTTTGGTCTGATGTATAAATTACTATTAATCATCAAAAGGTCATTAATCGACTTATAAGAAAATAATTAATAGGAAACTCCACTGCTGTTAAAAACCCCATAATATATATTTTTTCTACCCAAGCCATTTTGTAATTTAATGTTGATAAAAATGTACTTTCCAATCTGCCACCATCTATGAGTTTCTCGAATTTACAAACAGAAATGTTGTTTGTATCAATGTCAATGCTGGATTCCCCCCTCCCCGCCCGATCCTCCAGCGCTGACTGGTGGAACGGACGGGGGAGGGGGCGGGTACAGCTGGCTCTGCCTCTAGATAGGCAGAGCCAGCTGTCACTCACGCAGCTGGGCGGATCCAGACATAATTATCAGGATCCGCTTCAGCTGCGGCGTCTCAGTGTGACGGGAGGACACTAGTTTGTGTCCTCCCGTTACCCTTTATGAGAACTATGGGGAAAAGCCCTAACCCCATAGTTCTCCTTTAAGATTATACATTACATGTATTTCAAGTAATTTTTGCATGCTATGTACCTAAAAAAACCTACTTTGTATAGACATCTAAAAGGTCTGAGACTACTGCTGGGCACCATCATGTAAGGTCTGCAGACTCTGAGCTATCACTCAATTGACATGGATATCACTCAATGACATTACACTTTTCTCCACCTTCCCCCAGCAGCTACATAAAAGGTATGTAGGGAGGGCTGTGCCAGCAAAGACAGTAATTAGACATTCCCAGAAGAAGAGAGGGCTATGATGGACATGGAGGGAAGCGGTAGTACTAAGGAATTGACTGTTCCTGGAGCATTTATGAATAAAATATTATTTATGGAAACAAAATACACTCCAAATAACATTTTAAATACTTGATTTTTATGTGAAATTACCTGCAATCTTCAAGGTCAGTAACAGGGTCTTTTTAAGTGCAAGCCTTACAGTAAGGCTAGGGCATTTCACTAATTTAAAATAAATCTGCTCAGAAAATAGCTTTAAATTGTTTTTAAAAATGCAGCCTTATTCCCAGGTAAAGGTTTGTGTGATGTTATTCACTGATATTCTCTCCTTGTCTGGACTGAAATATTAGTGCATTAGTGTCAGCCTGTAGACCCCTTGTTCGAGGTCTGAGCTGATAGGTAGCATTCTGTCTGGGCTGCTATAGGAGGGTACGGCTGTCATGTAACAAAGCCATTTGTTTTCTTTTCTTCAGTCTAGATATCACCTTTGTTATGTCAGTTGTTTGAGTGTCTGTTATCGGCAGGGAATTCAGGCAGGAGACAGGATGGTCTTACAACCTAGAGCTAGATATACAGTTAGAATCTTGCTTGAACATTTTTTAATAATTTCTTTATTTTTTAATGGTTAAAGTAGGAACTATGAGATGAGTGATTTTCACTCACCTCATAGTTCTAGCCGACCTGTGACAATGAGACTGTCACAGGTCGGCTCAGTAGATCGGGAGGTGAGCGAACACATAAAGGCGTTCGCTCACCTCTCGATCCTGTCACGGCTCTCTGCAGTGACAGGGGAGGGGCTGGATTTCCCCCTCCCCGCTCCGATCCGCCAGCGCTGACTGGCGGAACGGACGGGGGAGGGGGCGGGTACAGCTGGCACTGCCTTTAGATAGGCAGAGCCAGCTGTCAGTCACGCAGCTGGGCGGATTGTCGGGATCCGCTTCAGCTGCGGCGTCTCAGTATACCGCGGGCAGCTGCTGGTATACTGAGCCTAGGGTGACGGGAGGACGCTAGTTTGTGTCCTCCCGTTACCCTAAGGAGAACTATGGGGAAAAGACTTAACCCCATAGTTCTCCTTTAAGGGGGTCAAATCGACAGTCGATTTTGACTGATGTGACCAAAAAAAAAATCGAAGGAGCAGGATGAAATTTGGTTTTGAACACACAAAATCCTTAGAGTGAATGTGTTTTTCATTCGGGAAACTCCAGTCCTTCCAAATTTGAATGTTAAAAACAAACCAAATTTTGAACTACAGGCAGAGAATACAAGCAATTGATTTAAAAAAAAAAGTAATCTTGATGCTGCACCTCTGTAACAGTTTACAACTGAAGATTCAGATTATTACATATGCCAATTACCAACTGCCGACTGGTTCTCTTTTAAAATACTTCTGAGAAAATCAGAACTACTTTATACCCCTCCATGTGCGGCACATGGAGTGGGTGTGTTGTTATAACCAACCAGGATAGAAGTTTAGAGTATCCACCTTTTTAGTATCCATGCAGACAAGTTACTTACCACATATCCCATGTATTGAAGTGCCGCAAGAAATACATTTCACAAAATGAGCACAAGTGGTGTTAACAGATGTCGAAGATAGAAGAAATATTTGACTTGGCTCAGATTTTCTCTTTGTTGTCAGTGTTATCCCATTTGACAAATCATGTTCAAAGGAAGGGTGGGCAAGGGGGCAAATAACCCACACAATCCACTTTTTGTTTTTACAGATGAGAGCCAAAACTAGTAGGATGCAAGGAAACACCTAAAAAAAAACACCCCACGGGAGCAATGTGGAGCCAAGCTATAATGGCTACCTTTATAGTCTTTCCTACAATCCTCTATTATTGTTAAAATGGAACGTATGTTCTCATAGTAAAATGTGCCGCATTTTAATTGCCTCCTGCGCCACAAGCTGTTTCTTTCTTTTTCTTAAAAATAGGTAAGGTAAAAGGCTTGTTGCATTAAAGGCCAGTAGACTGAGTCGCATTCTCATTTGTAATTATCACACAACTCTGCATGCTGATGAACACCCGATTCATTAAAAATCGGAAAAGGAAAAATGACATAAGATGCTGAGGAACAATTACAGGTGGTTCTTGAATTTTTTTCCAAGTAAAAACATTGATTTTATAAGATAACTGTACTTTTAAACAGATGAACTATGCAGGGGCAAGCCAGTTTTTTTTTAAACAAGCTGCTAGCGGACTTTTAACAAGCTTCAAGTTGTGCTGAAGCTTACTGAAGCCTACTAGCAGCTTGTTTAAAGTGATAGTCAGCACTCCCATTAGGAAATGTGTTTAACATTCCTAAAGTGGAGTTGAACAGTGTTTCAGACGCTCCAACAAAGCTTGCCCAAATCTCTGCAAATGCTCTGTAAAAGCTCTCTGTTCACGCTGCTCTTATAGAAGCGGAAACCTATGTGAACTAGGCCTTAAGGTGCCAAAAGCCGTGCATCCGCCTGTTTGCAACTCTGGTTTATTGCAGTTTCATATTTTTGTTTGCTTCCTCTCTGTATCTTTCTAAAATGTTTTAATAAAAAGAAAGTTATATATAAAAAAGCTGTGCATCTACAGGGTCCAGTAATTTAAAATGTGGTCATGCTTCTGCATAGTGCACAAGAGCCGAGGTGACTTTGAATTTACTGTGGCTCCTACATGATCTGAAGGAAAGGTAGAAGAAAGTCACCTACCTTCTAACAAAGGAGCACTAACAAGAAAACTGAGGCAAAGTAAGAGCCAATATGTACAGCTTAATGAAAATCCCATTTCAAAACCATGGGCATTAATATGGAGTTGCCTCCACCTCTTTGTGGCTATAAGAGCCTCTGCTCTTCTGGGAAGGCCTTTGAAGTGTGTCTGTGTGCATGTGTGGCCTAAATAACCATAAGCACTTCATAAGGAAAGGTACTGATGTTAGATGAGAATATCAGGCTCATAATTGGCATTTTTCGATCCCTCCTAAAGGCTTTGTGTGGGCCACTCAAGCTCCCCCAGCAGACTAATATCATCTATTCATGCCTCTATGGTCCTGGCCTTGTGCACAGGGGCACAGTCATCGTGGAACATAAAAGGAGCTTTCCCTAACTTCACCAGAAGTTAAAGTATTTCTATCTTCCTAACGAGGCACATACTGCAAACAACAAAAACCTGACGGGAGTTTCTACCATTCTCTACTCTAACAGGAAATAAGTTTAGCTATGGATATACTTTAAAGTACATTAAAATGTGTTTTCTTTTGGGCAGCTACTTTGCTTCCTCACATGTGGAGGCAGGAGTGTTTTGCTTAGGGCTTAGTATACACATAGCCTCAACATTTGCCAATAATCATTGTTGAGTTTTGGCTTGCAGTGTCTGCACTTTTTGAGGTGTGGAGTTTTGGCTTGCAGTGTCTCCAGCCCTTGAGGTGTGGAGTTTTGGCTTGCATTTTCTGCAGTTCTTGAGGTCTCAAGTTTTGGCAGTGCCTGCAGTTCTTGAGGAAAAGCATGTGGAGTATAAGGGCAAATATAGA